ACTCCGCGTGTATCTGACATAAATTGTCATCAATTGAAATAAATGTCTTGCTGCTACCAATGTTTATCGCGGTGTACGTAATTAGATGTATAATCGTCCATCGATTCGATGTTACACTCATTACACTCGAACACCGGTCACTCACTATGCATATACGCATGCATGACAGTATGTCCGGCTTGTTCATTAATTGAATTTACATGCACACATCCAAGCGGCAGGCTCACATGATTGCTCGTACGATCTGCACATTCCAAAGATGCGAGCGGAGTTCCTCCCAGAGATTTCTTCTTGCTCGATCCTTGTCTCGAAATTTTTATAACGCAAATGTTGTGTAATACTGCAACATGTAAATTCGCCGTTCGTTTTGCGCTTGTATCGCAAGCTTCTCTGTTTTTCCCAAGTGACGGATTACAAGCAGATCAAATAAATGTTACATTCATCCCACGCTCGAAATATTCGTAGAAACAACGACTACACTTGAAATGTACATATAAATCTAGAGAGCGAGCACCGTAATAAAAAAGGGGAGATTTATACAAACATGATGCACGGAAGCTACGAATTTTTCCGCTACATCCAATTCGAGGAAAAACAACAAGCTGACGTAAACAAAATATTTATTAGATATTATTAAACATACTTATTAGGAAGAACTATTTTATGAAATGTATATAAGCTGTTAATTTAACGACTTACTTAATTTATAATTATAAATTTAAATTGATAACTTATAGTACTGTTCATTGTACAAATAATTTTATTTATTATTGCAATGGCTTTCTCGGTAAAAAAAATTCTTTCAGAAATTTTTGTAGATCTCCTACATTTTTTGGATTTTGTAGTTGTAAAACGATGATAAAACAGTGGTCTACTAGAATCGAAGTAATAGGATTATAGCGATTCAATAGACGTTAATTTTCATTAAATTCAACATCGATATGAAGAACGTGTTTTGCCAAGTACGTTATATCACACTAGGCATTATTTGTTTTTTTTTGCACCAATCTAGATTGTATCTATTGTAACCAGCCTATTTTCTACTTTCATTTGAATTCAAAAATATTCCTTTCATTCCTCTCTCTGAGTATTGTTTCATTTTTTTTTTCGCGCCCTGTGATAAAACATACGATTTCTTTTTCTGCGATACACTTAAATGCGTCACCCGTATTTTTCCGAACGTAAAATAACACAACACGTGGACGACTCAAATCTTCCACTCTTATGAAAAAAATTTTGATATTTTTATAAATATTTTCAAATATTATTAATATTTTTAAAAAATTTATTATTGACAACGAATGCGATAAAATCGTCAGAAACCATATTATGAACACGACAACTATAGAATGCTGCAATACATTGTATCTATCGAACGAGAATTTACATCTTGATTTTTTATGAAAAAAAAAAAGAAATTATTTCCTTTCGCAGACATGGAAGAAGTTCGGAGATTGTGCGAGAAATAACTCTCTGAACTGGGACACAGGAAAGCTCCGCTGGCAATGTTACCACGTACAGAAACGAGTATCGCTGTATTGCTATACTTGTAAATCACAACCAACCGAGTATCAGTTTATCAACTAGATGTGTATATATATATATATATCTTTTTATTTATCATACGTATCTAGAACTGTATTCTTTGTATCGAGCGACCAGGCTCGACAACGTGAAATTCTCGCACGTCGCGAATCGTTTCGCGCGACATCCAAAATATTACTTGGAAAATTATTAACAACCCTGTCATTTGAAAAGAAAGATCACACGACTTAAATTTCAAGGGAGAAAATTGAGACGAGCTGCGTACCGATTCGCGAAACACCCATGCGAGAATCGCACTGCTGATACGTACGTACATTAATATAATGCGCGATATAATATACAATATATAATATAATATCATAAACTACGCATTTTGAGATTCCTACCCAAGATATCGGCATTCGAAGGATCCAACGCTGTCTCATGTAACGAGATAACGTGAGAAAGATAACAATGAAAAGAGAGATCGTACATAATGCAGAGGGGAAAAACGCTGTAATATAACCTTTACGTCTTTTTCTACCGAGTTGAAACGTAATAAATATACGTTTTTTGGCACTTATTACTTAATATCATCGCGAAAGTAATAGGTGAGAAAAACAGTTTTTTGTTTAGCTCAAGCGACAAATTTTCATATTTTATACAGAAAAGAGTGAAAAAGGTGAAAAAAAACATTGGAAAAAATATCGATCTGTTAGCTTTACAAATCAAATTTTCTCTTTATTCGAATATACGCAGAAGAATCGAATTAAATTCCTACCTCGGGGGAATGCTAGATTTTACATCAAACGTTACAGCGGAAATTTCGTTTAAATAAAAAACGAACGTGCCAGCGTTTAGGCGTACACAAAGGCACGGATTTTTCACGCAAATGGAATTCATTGCGGTAACTTCGGTGAAAACGTAATCTCATTTATGTCAACTCGCGGCCAAGTTTGCAAGTTTAGAACTACCTGTAGCGTTTTGAAGGTTACGAAGTAAAAAAGAATGTAATTTTTAAAAACTATCGGAGCCTCATAACGTCGATTCTCTCTCTCTCTCTCTCTCTCTCTCTCTCTCTCTCTCTCTCTCCCTTTCTTGGGTAGGAGACAACGCTGCATCGAAGAGTATAACTCGAGTAAAGAAATGTTCCCTATCCTAGTAATTAAAAATCTTACGTCGTTCGTAGCACGGCTACGAACGTGTTCTCACAACCTTATCACAACCTTATTATAGAGTGCCCTGGTGACGAGCTTACCATCGAGTCGTATGATCGTCCGATCTATTTTCTTCGCCCTTCTCACCTGGAATTCATTTCAATCTGTCTGTTTGGCGCGGCACTCGAGGAGATGGCGATTTTCTCGCCGCCTGTTCCCTCGTTTTTTTTTTACCCTTAAAGATACTTTAAATTGTATTGTGGTCATATAAATAGTACTTCGCATATGTCAAAGTATGTGGATGTGTGTGTAAGTATGTGTGTACGTGTGTGCATGTACGCAGATCTACACGGTATCCCGTAATCACCTCGATGCATCATTGAACGGTAGAAACAGCAGTTAGAAGACTGGATGTATTCACTTGAGAGCTGTGCTCTTCAAAACCACTCTTAATAGTGAAAAGTTTCAACAAATCACTTCCGATTTTATGTTTGCCTGAAGAATTTTCAATGAAACCGCATATACGAGTCTCCCGTTCGATACTTTCGTGTGAAATGACAAAAGTTTGTTTTCAACTTTTAGAGGATATATATATAAACGAGTAACGAACGCTCATTCTATTATTTGTAACTGAAACACGTTTTGATAACGAATTAAAATGAAGATATAAATGACGGGTGCAGCCATCAGGGGTCATGAAAGTTGGAATATTGAAAAGTTGAATAATGAACGATGGTGCGCCATTCGAGTTCGGAAGAAAAATCAGCTATTAATAAACTAATAGGGCTGTCGTTATAATAAATAGCGGTGATTCCGGGAAACTTTTGTAGCGCTACGTGACGATATTATCGCGTGTCAACGTGAATACGTTGGGAGGCGGTTTTAAAGTGAGATTTTATATGACGCGCGCGGCGCGGTTACGACCGTGCGAGTCCTGAAACCGCAGAGATTGTGTGGCGTTGTTAACGTCACGCTCCGAATAAACGACCGCCTCGGTGCTGACGAACAAATGCCTCTTAAGGCCTTGGCACATGGAAAAACTTAAGACGTAAGACTTAAGCGGTAACGAAATCAACATGTTGGATTCGCTATTGCTTACGTATGGTCTTACGGTCTCTATTGTGATTGGTCGATTCGTTCACTGCTTAAGTCTTACGCCTTCAGTTTTTTTTATGTGCTATGGCCTTAAGACCTTGGCATATAGAAAAACTTAAGACGTAAGACTTGAGCGGTAACGAAATCAACATGTTGGATTCGCTATTGCTTACATATGGTCTTACGGTCTCTATTGTGATTGGTTGATTCGTTTACTGCTTAAGTCTTACACCTTAAGTTTTTTATGTGCCATGGCCTTAAGCTTGGTTTAAGAAGTAAGAGTAAGGTCCAGTTCCACAACTCACGGTTAACTCTTAACCGAGGTTCAACTTATTTATTGTCTCTTTCTAATTTTAGAATTGGAATGAGATGAGAAACAAATTGAACCTCAGTTAAGAGTTAACCATGAGTTGTGGAACTGGACCTAAGAAATTGACCAATCACAGTGAATTGTGAAAAGAAATAATCGACTGTGATTGATCAATTTCTTACTCTTACTTGTTAAACCAAGCTTACCTTGCATATTGTAGACAACGCCTTACGCTGTTTCCTTACGCTACGCGCCTCGCGATTGAGGCTTATGGGTTTAGGACTATTAATTATTCACAACCGTAATACTTGCAATTGTTAACGTTCGGTGGACGTACGCACGTCTACCGGATCTATCTAAAACGCACGTACGATTATTTCTCCGTTGTCGTTGGTAGAAGAAAAGCACGTCTCCTTCTTTCGACGCGCTAAATCGTCAGACAGTTACTTGATGACGTTCTACGGAAATATTTGCGCTCGTGCATCGAGGAGACGGAAACTCTGTGCGCGACGAGGAAAGAAACGACAATGGCGAGAGACCTCCTCGATGACCCCGATTCCATCACAATCCGGTATCAAGCATTATTGATTTAATGATAAATCTCAATTACACGCTCATGGGAGTTAATTCAATCATTAATCATCTTCCAGCACAGCTAGATTGATCATCGAAGCCGCAGAAGGAAAGAAACGATGGTTATAGCTTCTTGCGCGACCTCCTCGATGACCTCGATTCTATTACAATCCCGGTATCGAGCATTATATTGATTTAATGATAAATCTCATTTACACGCTCACGAGAGCTAATTCGATCATTAATCATCTTCCAGCACAGCTAGATTGATCATCGAAACCATAGAAGAGAGAAAATTCATACAGGGTTGACGAAACTTTACATAATGATATTCGGGAAAAGGTGATCGCCACGCCGACCAGCACAGGGAATCATAATTTCCTTTATCACTCCCGCAGAAAGTTTCCCTTCAATTTTCGCCCTTGAAAGCTCTTCAGGGCCGGATTAGCCGCCGGCTCGGCTGCCAATCTTGATTGCGATGCGCTTCGTGAATTTCTAGAATGAAACCATCTATTTTCTCGACGCGTCTTCTTGAGATTCCTGATAAATTTTCAGGGGTAAAGTACCGACGGTAAGTGCACATCGTTCTTCGGGCTCTCTCGAAGCCATGGCAATCCGTTATACTAGTTGAAGAAAATTTTCAAGATTCTTATGGCGTTCAACTTTTCGTTCCATAAAAAAAGAAATTTACTTTGAAAGTCGTGTAATAATTCAAAAACTTGGTGAATGTTTGATTTAGGAGTCAAGTATATACTAGGGAGATAGATTAATTGGTTCTACCCAATTCCAATAATTTTCGCGGAAACAATCTTTAATCTTCCGTTATGTACGTTTACGACATCAAAATTTACCGTCTGAGAAAAATTTGCGTATATTTCTCTCTTCTTACGACGTAAATGATAGTTGTAATGCGTTTCTTTGGTATAGAGAATTATGGCCGTGCTTTCTTCATCGCTACTCACCGGATAAACGTAATTATTCAGGTTAATAGGATCGATACCTTAATTAAACGTGGTAGAGGAAAATAAATTATCAAGTTTCGTAGAGTTAGTTCGTAACTTGGTGTAAAACGGTAATAATCCTGCGAATTTACTGATAACTTACTTACTCCGGAGTTCACGCTCCGCGACGCTTCGTCGTTTCGTTTAACTCGTCGGCCATCATCGTCGTCTCTGTCCTGACTGCGTCAAGCCGTCAAGTTTTCGCCGCGTAACATAACGAGCTGTGTGCGCGAACAAGCGATCGGGGTAAGCGAGACATCTGAATTTAACCATTAATTACGACGTATCGCCACCCCCGGCATGATTACGACGAGCGACGCGCTTTTCCCTGGACGAAGAACTTACTATAACGACTCCTGTTGGCTAGCAGACGGAAATCCCGTGAGAGTATAGAAGTCGTGACGTAGAGGCTATTATAACCGATCACCGCTCGAGGTGCCGCGTGGCTCGCGAACGGCGAAAGAGATTCGGACGACTGAACGCCGAACGAAATCGCGAGGATCCCCCTCGTCTGCCAAAGCCCAAGGGCCAAACGCGACGGCCGCGAGAGCTCTCAGCGGATTCGCAACAGCCGCCTGAACGCCCTTCTATAATCAAGATTGAAGATCGTGTAGATCAAGGGGTTCAGAGCGCTGTTGACGTAGCCGAGCCACGTGATAAAGTACACCATCCTCTCAGAGGGGCAGCAGGCCGGACAAAACGGCACAATGACGTACATGAGGAAGAACGGCAGCCAGCAGACGACGAAGACACCCATGATGACCCCCAGGGTTCTCGCCGCGCGTCTTTCCTTCGACAACGAGATCCGCTGTCGCTCCTCGATGAACTGGTAGACGGTCGAGGTGTCAGGGATGGCATCGCCGGCGCCGGCACCTCGCCTGGTGGACGCAGTGGTACGACGATCGTTGTCACCTATCGTCACTTCGGTGGGCTCGTCATCGATCAGCGATGGCTTCGCCTGTAGACGGGGCGTCGAGCGTTCATTGTGATTCGTCTCTGAGCTGACCGACTCCTCGGCATCGTCGGTCTCGCGGTGTCTGGTCGACTGCACCGGACCCAGCCTGCTCTGTCGGGCCCGTTCTCGCAGTCTCCTACGCGTCGCCAAGAAGATCTCCAGGTAAACCAGGCTCATCAGTAGCAACGGTATAAAGAATGAGCCCAAAGACGAGTATATAACGTAGCCCTGCCGTCTGGTAAGCTGACAGGGAGTGCCCGGTTCCAATTCCTCCGGCCAGTCGTTCCAACCGGCTAACGGCGGCGAGCTGATCGCACCCGAGAGGATCCACACGCCAGCGATTGTCCCGAGGACTCGTTTCAGGGTGCGTTTCTGGGCGTAATTAATCGGATCGGTGATCGCCCAATAACGATCCAGCGCGATGGCGCATAAATTGAGGATACTGGCGGTGCAACAGAGCACGTCGCACGTCAGCCACAGCTTGCACAGATGAATGCCGAAGATCCATTTGCCCAGTAGCAGGTAGGCTACGTTAAATGGCATTACGAGGATCGCCACCGCGAGATCGGCCACCGCCAGCGAGACGATGAAGAAGTTCTGGACAATCCGAAGTGGCCTGTACGTGAACACGCTCAGAATCACCAGTGCGTTTCCAAACACCGTCGCCAACACGAGGAAGCCCAAAGTTAACGTGGCTGCCACCGCTTCCCATGTCGGCAGATTCGAGCCCGTCTCCTCTTCCGGGACGCTGCAGCCTCCGACTTCGTAATCTTCCGACATCGTTCCGCCGGACTCTCCGCTCGAGTTCATGTCGTCCAGAATACCCTCTGTAAGTCAAATTGGTTACATTACGCAGTCGTCGTATTGTAAATGAAATTCTTCTCACGTATTTTCTTTCTCTTTTTTTTTTTTTAATTTGTTTTAATTGTCGAACGGTATTCAATAACAGTGCTACATTTGTAACATGAATCCGTAATTCTGATAATAAAAAGTATAGTTTAACGTTCGGTTTAAATATACAAAAGTCAAATTGGTTATGGAATCGAATGTTCAGCTAACGAATACTAAATATATTTATACAGATCAAATGATATTTAAGTAACGTCCGATACGTGGAATACATTCCATACAAAATCACTGCTGAATTTCTCGAAACGTTTCAAGTAATACGATTCCAAGGTTTGAAATGTCGTTTCGAACGAAAATTAATACAGACTTCACGTTTCCTTTGCGAAATTTTACGCGGTTGCGGAAATCGATTGGTATTTGCCAATCCAATTCGCTTATTTTAGACAAACTTTTTGGTCGGCGGTAACATACATTTTACAAGTTGAGATAGAAATCCAACCGCTAAAGAGATACGCGTATAGTGTGTATGTGTTTTATGTGATGTCTGCCAAAGCAATTCAAAAGTTTCGAAAATTTCGCAATTTTTTTATCGCCGATTATTCGTGCAGATCAAAGTGAGTTCCAGAAAAAATGTTCAACGACAATTAAACAAATAATAGCACAGGTGTGTGTGCGTGTGTTCTCTTTCATTTGGTTAAAGGAATATTTATCTTTGAACTTCCATCTCACTTCCATTTCATTCTATTTTTTTAACTCGCTAACACTTTTATTTACAAAGAATTAAAATTTTTTTTTATTGCTGGTCAATAATTCTCGCAGATTTATCGTTCAATTTATTTAGACACATATTTTTTTTTTTTGCAGCATAGATACGCTGCCTGAATAAATGGATCCGTATGGTCACAGGGTAATCATCATTATTCGCATGTATATTTAACAAAACCCGAATGTGTAACTGTAAATGGTTTGTACACATTAAAAAATCGAACGTCCGTATGTCAAAATTTTCTTGTGTTACCACATTTTGATTATTACTTCAATGTAAAATAAATTGATATGTCATTATTTTTATAACATTTTGATGTGTTAGATTCATATCACCTTTCTAACTTAACAATTGCTAACGTCAATTAAAAATGGAATATTATTTTGAGTGTTTTTAATACAATTGTTTAAATTAATCTATATATCTCAAAGTCAATTTAACATCTAAGAAAAATTAAAGTAAATCTTAAAATAATCATAAACTTTGACACACAAAATAATCAATTTTTTCATTCACATTATACGAATAAAAATGTTTTATTAACATTTTCTTACGAATTACTGCAACTACTCTTCTATGTACTCTACTTATTTTATATGTTAGTTTTAAATCACCCTTAAAGTCAAAATAACAAATATAAATTATTGTGTCAATTATCTAACATTACTAGTTCGCTAATAAATAACACAAGACGAATGAGTTACTTTAATTAAAAATTTACAGTGGATTTCCTGGGACATGTAAAAAATGTTAAAATTAACATTTTCTTTTTTACTGTGTAATTGTAACAATAGGTAAAACCTTTAATGTCCCTAATAAATCGCGACGTCAAGCATCCCAGCGGCGGCGCTTTTTCTCTGTGTCATAAATTATTAGGTCGCAGATTGCGGCACATACATATATTCCGCACGCACGAGGTATTATTTTCTGCACGAGAGCCTGCGGTAAGTCTAAGAGCGCGGAAAATGTTTCCATTTTCGTGCTTTGAGTATTCGAAAAGCAGCCCCGGCTTTGTTTCACCCCTGGCACAGGAAACGTCGCCAATAAAAAACACAAAGTTTAACGATACGGCGTACATAGCGTATCACTGAAAAAAAAAAAACGGTCAACGCAACGAACGTCGTACGATTCCGCATTCTCATAGAAACTTGTGCGTCGCGAACCGTTAAAAACTCCTTTTCGATATCGAGCCGTTGAAGAAGCCTGCCTCGTTCAGCGGGTTTCTTAAATCTAACTTCTTTCTTTCCTTTGAAGAGATAGCGATCGCAAAGAGAAATGGGTCACGCGGAATAACATTTTTCACGTTCCCTTACTTCCGTGTAATTACCACTTGGAAATCCGGGAAAACATCACTCCTCCGTATAACTCCGTTCTGTTTGCCGCTCGTCGTGTCAAAACCGTCGGTTCCCCCCCCCCCCCCCCCCCCCCTCTCTCTCTCTCTCATTTCTCTGACTCCTCTCTTTTGGCTTCTGTACACCAACCAGCGTACGAGGGGACTGTCAAACTTCATTATTACACGTGTTCGTCTACGAGGTAAATATTGATTCAGTTAATGCGGAAAGGGGACGAAAGTACCACGATACAGGGGAGTTTTTCAGGCGGGAGCTCAACGAACGCTTTTAATAACAGCCCCGTCAAATCAACGAACCGCAAAATGCGCGATGAAAAAAAGAAAAAAATCATATCGCGGTTAGAAGATATTAATTGTCAGGAAAATCAACGGAATTACCCGCCGGAGCTCTCAGGAATCAGCCGGAAATTTTCCAGATCGGCTATTTGCAGCTAAAGCAGCGTATCGAGCCGTATTTGATTAAAGCAATCACGGAACTTTCATAATACGTAACATCGTTTCGAAATCGGCTTTGTAAGCTTATCCCATTTGATCGACTGCTGTAAAGGCGTGTTCTTCATTCCGATGGAAGTTCTCACGTTGTAGCCGCAGGAAGAGGAAATGATCGGCTGATTTTAAATCGATTTGTATTGCGTTCCATTTAGTCCCGCAGAAGTATAATGTACATACTACGCGATTGATCGTTTAAATTCAAGCACGGAGTTATTAGTAACATAATATTCAGCACACGCACGAATTCATTCCTCGTAACGACATGCAACGCGCACACTCCCAAGAAATCGCCACGTAACAATATATAGGCGAGTTCAAGACGGCAAAGTGGCTAGGCATGCTTGCCGAGCGAATAATTGGTTCTTACCTGTGAATGTTTGTCAACCAATCATGTTTAATCGCTCGGCAAGCAGACTTAGTCGCTTTGCCGACTTGAATTAGCTCAATTATAAACTTTATAATATTTAAAATTATAAACTTTATAATAATTAAAATTACGAAAAATTCATTAATCACGCCACCCGATTTTTCATTAGTGGTTAACGTGTGGTTAAGCTTAACCTGACGTTTCACTCAGGCCCGGTTTTTCATTATCTGGTTAACTTGTGGTTAAGCTCAACCTGATGTTTCACCCAATAGGCTTCATCCATGACATCATCACAGATGAAGCCCATTGGATAAAACAAACCACAAATTAACCAAATAATAAAAAGCGAGCCTAAGACGTCTCCGGCGAATGCGCAGAGTTTAAAGACTTACAGATAATATGAATTATTTTGCCACGAGTATTTCTAGCTGAGAAATATACACGTAATTCTGCGCGTGACAGTTCACCAGTGAAATTCGCTCGACTGCATATTACAAGTTTTCGTAAAAAAAAAGAAGAAAAAAAAAAGAGAAATAAAGTTAGAGTTCGCACCGCCGACAGCGTCCATGACTGAACGCGTCGTCCCAAATAATTCGATTACAACTCCATCGCCAACAGGGTTTCGCACCTTCAACTGAATTACAAGCCCGAATACAGGATCGTCAGTTAGAAAAAATTGTACCAGCGTCAAAATTTTCCTAAAACGTTCAATGGTCTGCGCGTACGCGTTTTGCTCTCCGGATGCTGGAATTTTCAGGCCAGAAGTGGATTAAAGGCAGCTCGTCGTCTACCGTAGCGAACTCACACATAAATTGCCGCCCTTAAAATTCTGTGAGACGTGGATTGAAAAGGCTGCATATTTTTCGTCGATATCGCGTCACGTGAGATAAATTTCGCGCAATCGATAAATTCTATTTTATCGTGCCACAATGTAATATAACATAGTATAACGTTACGTGACGCCGATCACATCCTCATGCGTTGTTGCACACGAATACAAGGATGAACGTCAGCGTATCTTATGTTCTCGAGCAGCAATTATTGTACATTCCTGTTACATTTTCTAATCGATTACACACATTATTCCGCTGGAATGTATTTTTTGTAAAAACAGGAAATCCTATCGAATTAACCGCTTAAAACGCATCTGATTCTATTCAAATTAAGACTATTGATTCTATTCAAAATGTCCCCGCGTATTCAGTTCGCTCAAACTTACGGCTGATTGAACATTACCAGAAATTTGTAAAGTACATATCGAGATGAATGTAGGTTTTTTAATACAAAGATATTTTTTCATTCGTTCAACTTGTTAAGAAATATTTCGGTTAATTTATTGGATAGCGTAGCTTCAGCATAGAATTTCACTTTGTTTAAGTTTGTAACTACAATATTCTAATTGAAGTGCGTAAACCGCAGTAACTCATAGTTGTTTCCGAGTTTTGATTAGAACGGGAAGTAAAATCGATTCCAATTCCAAAACCCAGTTGAAATAACATTTTGTGTATTGTTGTAATATTGTATCATTGCCTTGTTCCATTGATAATGTTACTAAATCACACCCCATCCGTAATTTATTTAGAATTAAATTTCTCTTTTTATTTTCCAAAAATATTTATATCATTTCCAGTATTTTTTAAATTAAAATCTATGTAACATGAAAAAAAGTTAATAAAACGGAGAGGTTTTAAAACAAGGCACGTATTTCTTTGGGCGTCCAATGTTAAATGGCTCTCTGCTTTTCCAATGTTTTTTTTTCCAGTAAGCATAAAATAATAATAATTAACCCGTAAAAATGACTTCTCTCGTATATTTCGAGTGCACTCGAGCGGCACGCTCGTAATATTTTCCTATCAGGAACACGACGCCGTACTCGCGCAATGACAAAAGACTATTGATTTCATGAGTACAACATGAGACAATAACCAGCGAATAATACTATTAGAATTATACGTGCGGCGTATTAGCGTGTGTCGTTCACTTCATTAGTAAATCAAACGTTAACTCGTAATGTTTCGAGTGCAGAGTATTAACAGAGGAATGCTATGCCTCTGTCTCTCAATAGCAATCGATGAGGCGCAATTGGCATGAACGCGAAAGGGCACTTGTCGAATATTTGGAGCCTGTTCTGACATTAATCACGAAACAGGTCATGGATTGTAAATCGTTTGTGTAATTAAAAAGTAATTACTTCATTTTCAGTTTATATATACTATGATCCATATATGACCTGACTAATATTTACAGTATCAATATTAAAAAAATTTTTGTTTTAACGATGATACGTTAAACAAATATCCTCCGCAGTAAGCTGTGTATGTAACGAATTTCAATTGTAAAGCGAAAATGACAAACTTTTACTAACAGAATAGTCTCATAATCAGTAATTTTTTTAGTCATACAATCCCGCTACGAGGTAGCCATACAATAAAGTCGACAATAAAGTCATTGCGAACAAAATCAAAATGCAGTCGGGGACTTTAGAAATAAATCGGAAACCGGAAGAAGAAAGTTGCTAGCAAAGTACTCTAAAATAATTGGATTTCCTGGACGAAGTCGTGGCCTTAATTCTTAACTGACGAAATTATCTCCGTGGTTCTCGAGATCTAGCTACCTTTCGGCTACGATTTGTGGTGCAATCTCTCTCTGAATGACAAAGCACTTACTATTATAAGTCCACCGCTATGCGTCTGGTCTTTAATGCGAAACCGTCAAAGATACATTGCGTCACATCTTGATTTCTTGCCCCGCTTGCGATGATCGACGATCGATCGACTGATTTCAGCAAGGATCGCAGATGAAATTGATCATTGGCTCCCACGGATTACACCATCTGCGTGCAATAAAAGACAGAATAGTTTACACTTTGGAATGTCCTTTATAAATTCATTGAACTGAGATTTTAATTGAATTGACTTTTGATGTATTCTACTTTTAATATAATATGTACAGCGGAATATATTTCTTTTTCATCGATAATCAGAAATTGAATTTTGAACAATAATATACGAGAAGGGAGTCAGTTTTATATGAGCCTCTACACCTCGCTGTATCATGCATAACTGATTTTCATATTGTTACCCGTATTCTGTATAAATATGTGACAAATAAAAATAGAATTACGTCAGTATTGCAATACTCGTTTTGCGCGAATGCAATAAAATGGAACGCGCAAATACATGGCAAATGCTGCATCGAAAAGTTTGTCCGATCTTTTTTTCCCCCGAAGGACGTAGAGGGTTTTACTGCGGTAAGGAGAAATTTAATTCGAGACTTAACCCAGTTTCAGAAGAATGTGCATGAAGATTTACCCGTATGTACCATTTATATTTGCAACAGGAAACTTTACAATAGGAAATTTATATTGTAAAAACAAACGCGGTAAATAACGTAGACTGATTATATACAGACATACTAGTTTACATACATAGTTTTACAAATTTCTCGCGGGAACACAGGGTGATAAAAATTCCGTATTCTGCAAAGAGTAAAACTGTTTTTATCCGTGTATGGTCACTGTTATAAAACGAAAAAAGAAAACTTTACGTCCGGAAATTCGAGTAGGTTAAACAAAGAAAACGGTGTTAGAGAATGATATAAAAGTATTATAAAAGTGCCTCGTGTCTTTTGACCTTAAATTACAGCACATCCGTCATATTTATGTTTCCTAGTATTCTCTTCCTTATTACTTTTCTTATTACACTGTAAAAAATAAAATGTTAATTTTAACCTAAGACGTATAATAGACTTTCTGAGACATGCAAAAATGTTAAAATTAACATTTTTGCATGTCTCAGAAAATCCACCATACGATTATAAGTTAAAATTAACATTTTATTTTTTACAGTGTACTTTCCTTATTTATTTCATTAATTTTTACAATATTATATCAGAAAGAGATGATACAACGATATAATGTCATAGAAAATAAATGAAAAATTTGATTTCTAAAAATAAAAGTTCGTGCTACCACTGCTACCTCGTTATCACGCCAGCGTGCTAAATTGATGTTTACGTTAACATATTCACGGTGCTATAACTTTGTAAAGTAATGTAAGAAAGGTTATAAAGTAAATGAAGATTGCGCAATATAACAGCAATATAACAAATATATTATAATCATTACTGTAATATAGAGGGATATTATAGCTGCGATTTGCGGAACTATAGATCTTCTTGCCGGGATAGGGCAAGATAAGGACGGTCGTTTTACGGGTGACAATCGAAGTCGATTTTCGCAGCTAAGGGGTTAAATCTACGTTGCGGCACGTTCTGCGTATTTCAACTGTAGCAAACTTCCACTTTGGAAAATGTTCGATTTTCTGGAAGGAGGACAAACGTCTGTGCGCATAAGGATCGAGAAAACAAAAGGGAGATTTAAATCGTGTGACACGGAATGTCACTAGCAAGTTTCTATCGTAAAATGAAATTTCGACAGTGAAGCTCGCGCGACAAAAGAAGAAACGCACTTATAAAAGAAAGATGTCGAATCTTTCTAAGGAAAGTACAGTGGCACATAGCTGAGAGATAAAATATATTGCGCGGAGTATTATTTAATAATAAGTTCCGGGACACGCTTTTGATGAGCGTGCGGATTTAAATTTAATTCGTGATTCACGTCCAACATCATCTTGGTAGAAAGTAACGTATAACTTTATCTTAGAAAATCCCTTTACAGGAAGAGACTTTTACAAGAAAAAAAATATCAAGTTAGAATATAAGAGAAAATTAATGAAGAACCATTAAATAAGCATAAAAAATAAAACGAAAAAAATACAACGTGTTGTAAAAGGCAACAGGCGTTTCTGGGAGAAATTTATATCTTATACATTGTTTCCGTCGTAAATTCGTATCCCATTTACTATTCCAGTAGGATCTCGAACTCACTACTCACTGAACTGGCATATCAATTCCTGCGGGATTCATCTCTCAATCGAATTTGTTCGTAAATGTACGCAAGAGATAGCAGACTGGCGATTGACCTGACTGAAATTTATGATCTCGAGCACTCTGCGAAATGATCGAAATAGTCGACTCTTCATATAAAATGCAGTCCCATAAGATTCTGCCAAGCGAATACGTGAAACGGGAGAAATAAATAAATAATGCGTGAAACAAGTATCAACGAATTATTCAACGCTGGGATACTTTAATGGCAGATACAACAGTTTTGAGCGCTAACAATAAGAACTTTCTCATTGTTTTAAATAGCCGGCCTTCCGTTGATTCAGGTTTAAGTCTGCACATGTTCTAATCGCTTCGCATTACACGGCTAGTTTGACAGAGTAATTGTAATTCTGATAAGTTATGCCTGATTACTTCGTTATCCGACACATGTCATTTCTGCAATAAAGTTCCAATTGATTTCGAATTGATTCGATATTTTATTTTTCCTCATTGCAATTGCGTTCCAGCGCGATATTACGTCATGCTTTACAATTTCTGTTAGACGTAATTTAGCTGCACGACAAGCATTCGAGAATATGAGAAATGTGTTTGAGTGTATAAATCAGAGGTATAGAACATTCCTAGGAAGCTTACTATGACCACTGTGCATGTGTTGTCAAACATATTCCATATTTCAGAACGAAACGAGTTTTACGTAATAAAAAGAAGAATTGAACAGGATATTATCGTGCCACGTATACAGTCGGGCTCCATCATGTATTTTCCTTGCCAGATTTCGCTGATGGATCTTTCTCATAGGGAAATTGCTGTTCGCTCTGAAGGAGCTTTCTTATTTCGCTGATCTATCTTTCACGCACAAAGGTTGCAGGGGATATAAGCTCCTTACGGACCTTATATTTTTCATAAATTTAAATTTCGAATGAATTTAATCGAATCAAGAGATACGATAACACTATTCTTCACGTTCGTATCATATGTCCGTTTTGCCTCTCGCATTACCAGCGCATTATCAGCAAATTTTATCTCGCCAGGGTAACTTTTCCAACTATAATTATAACAAACACTTGCATAATATTAAAACCGGTTGTTTAAAAGCACGACTCCGCGAGCAACATTATATGCTACCCACTATATGTATAAAGCAATGATGATAATTTACATATTCGCGCAAGTCGGATGTTATTTTAGTTATGCCGCAAAGTTTTAGCGCAAAACTGAAAGATAATAATTTATACGAGTAAGTGTAAGCTACTTCAAATTGTTCATACTCAACCGCGGGAGCTTTATCTTCATAATTTTCGATCCTTTTGTACGTAATTGAACTTTTTCTTATAAAGTTCGAAATTATATCGATTCCCCTGAGGCCTGGTGTTCTTTGAAGAACTGTATAAAGTTACGTGCAAGTACTTTAGCTAAACCAGGTCATTTAACCGTCATAAAATATACATAAGCTTTTATATGATTATATATAATAGAGCATGAGAAGATATAAAGTGCTAACAACGGTACGTCGTAGAAATTAAACTTATGATAAGAACGAAAAGAGTAGAGAATTTCTATCATTCAACTTGTTTCTCTACTGAGAAACTATAGTGTTGCATCTTTTCTCATGTTAACGACATCGCTTGTAAGCATTTTAAGAAAACTCGGTACTTCTTGAGAATTCGAAGCATATCGAATACGGATGATTTCATAAAACGAGGACAATCGGCGAGAAAAGCGAGAGATTCTCGTTTAAAATTTCGATAGACCTTCCTTAGTAACAAAGCTCTTTTTCCTTCTCTCGATTTTATCACTTTTACGACGATAAAAGAACACACCGTAGCGGATACATTGCGCGAACTTCTTCTGCACTTTTACAGCCCTTTGTTCTATAGCCGTTATCGTGTCTCCTTTTACTGATATTTACATAACTAGGATCGCGCATTGCTACAAACAATGCTTAACATTATCTCAAAAATGCATAGCTACATGGACAAATTGCTTCTCTACATGTATTTGTAGACCTTCCAGTTAATTGCTTGTAATTTTGCCCGGACGCTTTGTGAATTTATTGGCCATGTGAATTTAATGTGTTCTAATACCTCAATGATCAACGCTGTAGCATATCTAATTACATTATGTACTGGGTTGAAACAAAAGTTCATAGCGCTACTTCATTTCTACATCATGTCTACATGTTTAAAAAAAAATTTCTTTTTTAATTTGACAATTATACTGTTCAATGGAGCAAAGTTTTAGTTTAAAAAATTGATTTTTTTAGTTGCGATACGATTTTTAACAAAATTTTAATTTTAATTTTAATTTTATGAGCAAAGTCAAAATGCTCTTTTTATTTGATTCATAATAATGATAATTCAGTAAGAAAAAAATCTTAACGATTTTATAAGGAAAACTTTAATTAATTTAAGCTTTCACGTTAGAAAATAGACGATTTTTGCAAGTTTTTTGAGCACGTGATAGACTTACAAAGTGCAAAAAAATTTCCCATTTTGTCGTAGTTTCTTTTGAAAATTACGTTAAAAATTAGTTTTGTAGTAAAAATTATCAAACTCGTAGAAACTAAAAAGACGTCATGACCTTTAAAAAGTAGAAATTTTAAACTATAAAACTCTGTTTTTTTTAAATTTAAATTTCGTCCAATTTAAATTTAAAAAAACAGAATTTTATAGTTTAAAATTTCTGCTTTTTAAAAGATCATGACGTCTTTTTAGTTTCTACGAGTTTGATAATTTTTACTAGAAAACTAATTTTCAACGTAATTTTCAAATAAAACTACGAATTAGACAAAATGGGAAATTTTTTGCAACCTACCTACAACTACCTGAATTTTAAAGTTTATTGGGCTACAAACTTTTGTTCCAACCTAATATATATATATGAAGTACTAATTACAGTAATTACTTATGTAAATGCGCGATCGAA